AGATTTCAAATAGCCAGTGGATTCTAATTTAGAACAGCTCAATCTTGTCTCTGGTTTAAGATATATTAATCTGAGATGCCGCATCTGTCCAGAACAGGAAAGCGCATTGTTCTTATTTTACGTTCCCTTTAAAGAAAAGCTGGAGAATGCGTAGCCAGAGACTGTGTTAAATACTGTTTACTGCCTACCTGCTTGTTACTATCATCCTTTTTTTTTTAATGTTGTTATTATGTTTCTCTGTTGTCATTAGACAGTCACTTTCCCTGAGGTAAAACGTTCATGGCACTTGTCATTTATATGCCAGGTTACTAGTTTTAAACTGCGTATAGATGGGATTTTTTTTTTTTTAATGTTGTTATTATGTTTCTCTGTTGTCATTAGACAGTCACTTTCCCTGAGGTAAAACGTTCATGGCACTTGTCATTTATATGCCAGGTTACTAGTTTTAAACTGCCTTCACTGGTTTTAGACTCTCTTGGAGAGATCTTGGTGTCAGAAGTCTTTGCTCCATGGATAGGGTTGGCTTCAATGAGGATGAGATTGAGCATAGAGAATCCCTAACTCTTTGGAGAGGCCTGTTGTTGCATCTCTGTGGTGAAAATAGTTACCATGGTTACTGTGCAAGGTATTTGCTTTTTCCTGCTCTGGACCAGGCAGTGAGCTGGCAAAAAACGGTCACTTTCCTACAGTGCCTTTGAGCAGAAATGAATCTCTCAGATTTAGGCCTGAGCAGTTTTTCAGGCGCATGGGATGTGTGACGAGCCCATGACTGGATACAGCCCCACAGGAGGCAGGTACACTGAGTCCCCTTCTAACCACTGGCTGTGTGACAGCCTGGAGGAGGGGCAGCTCTTTCCTTTGCTGATAGCCGTTGGATAAGTGGTTGGCAACCTGAGAGAAGGAGCAGTCAGTGCAAGAGGGATGTTATAAAAAAAAAAAAGCTGCATGCTTCCTGAGCTTCTTGGCTGTAATGTAATCATCTATTGATGCTGTAGTCACCTATGGTGATTAAGTGGGAACACACGAGGTCAAGTATGGCCTTGGGGTAACAGTACACAATGTTGGGGGCAGGATGGTTTTAATGTACTTTTTGTTCTAGAGTGTCAGCTGCCGGGAGCCTAGTTTTCTTTTACCTTATTTGTCACATAGCACACTGAAAATAGTTTGAGAATGAAAACACAAGCTTTTGAAGAATGCGTAACTTTCTCTTTCAAAAGTGCCTCGCATGTGATTTTCTAGAATCACCTGATCTAAATATTGCTTCTCAGTTGTGCAAAAATACAAGGTAAAGAAAATTGAAATAGGAATTTAAAAATTTTAACATTCTTTGTCAGTATTTCAAGGGTTAGCTATGTAGTCAGGAACGTCTGACTTTTTGTTAAATAAATAAATGTTTAGTGTGGAGAATTTTGAAAATAGGGTAAAGTTTAAAGAAGAATAACTGTAATCCCATGTGTGAAACAATGCCTGGCACACACCAGGTGCTCACACATTTGTTCAGTGACTATAGAGACGAATACCATTAATATCATTTGGGGGTATTTATGTTTAAGAGTTTTTTCCATGTGTATTTGTCTTTTTTTTTTAAAGAAAATAGGGATCAAAACATGTAAGTACAATGCAGCTTCGCTTTAAATTTGATTACTTTGGGTGTTGCTATTATTATCATTGTTGTTATTTTGTGATAACTGGAAGATTTCAACTTGCCTGTGGCCCTTAGCCAGGGACAACCTCACTTTAGGCATGTCTGCAAATCGAAACGAATTTTTTTGTTTTTTTAAATAAATTTATTTATTTATTTTTGGCTGCATTGGGTCTTCGTTGCTGCGCACTGGCTTTCTCTGGTTGCAGCGAGCGGGGCTACTCTTCGTTGTGGTGCGCGGGCTTCTCATTGCGGCGGCTTCTCTTGTTGCGGAGCACGGGCTCTAGGTGCACAGGCTTCAGTAGTTGTGGCACGCAGGCTCTAGAGCGCAGGCTCAGTAGCTGTGGCACACGGGCTTAGTTGCTCTACGGCATGTGGGATCTTCCCGGACCAGGGCTACGAACCTGTGTCCCCTGCATCGGCAGACAGATTCTTAACCACTGTGCCACCAGGGAAGCCCGGAATTTTTTTTTTAATATGAAGATTTAATTGGCTTTATTCAGTGATTCATGAATCGGGCAGCATCCCATCTAGCAAGTATCAATAGAAGAGAGCTCCTCTAATTTCATTAGGTAACGGTTGCAATGGGTTCTCATTAAATATGTGACCTTAATTCCACACTCCTTTTCAGAAAACGCTCTGGTGTGTAGGGTCTTCTGTCGCTGCCGTGCACACCTGCCTTTAGGTGTTGTCCCCACAGTCCTGCCTGACTGCGTTCATCTGCTGCTCCCTGTCACAGCCTGGCTTCTCCCAGGCTCGCCCGTGTACTCCCTTTGTTCTTCTCCTGGAACCATCTGCTCCACCTAAATGGTCTTTTTCTGTTGTGCCCCAAACCTACCCTGTTTTAAGTCCCACTCTGCTCCTTTTCACACCGCCCTCCAAGCTGGCATACCTACCCCTTTTCTTCACTTACTGAATTATTTGCTGTGAGGCCCAGCTCCAAGTCCTGGATTTTCTATTAACCCACTTGTGTTAGTAAGGCATGTCCTCGAGAGGCAGTATTCAGGGGCATCACGCTATAGAGGAGCTTATACAAGCTTCAAGTGAATAGTTTATTTTTTGGGTAAAGACCTATGGCTGACTTTTAAAACTTTAAGTTAGTAGTTGTCATAAACCCCCCTGTCCCCCTCCCCACAAACAAGCGAGAGAGAGAGAGAGAGAGAGAGAGAGAGAGAGAGTAAGAAATTGGCATACCCTTGCCCTGACATTTTTTCTCTGTTGCAATTTAAACTGTTCCAGAAATTCTCACAGTTTAGTTAGTTCTCCCTTGATTTTTTTCTGTTCGGATAACACGGCTAACTTGGTTTCATCAGTTTTGTGAGTTTTGATTGTATTCTCTCCCCCTGTCATCAGACTCTGCCTTCTAGGCCTGGGGGGTGGGGGTATCCCCACTCCTCATTACACGTAGTTGCCCTGGGCCGCTTTGATAAGACACAAAGACCTTGACTTAACCAAGTGTAGTTTTAGGCCTTCTAAGTATTTCTTTTAACCGGTTGAGCAGTGGAGCGTTTATTGACATTCCTCCCCTCTGCGTATGAGGAAGCCACATAGTGAAAATTTTTGAAAAAAACACGGCCCCTGTTTTGAACTTACTACCTGCTTAACTCAAATAATAAAAACGTGAATTAGACCGAATGGCCCAAGAACACATGGGTAGCATAGTGGGTAGCTTCGGGAGTCAGTAAACTCAGAATCTGGATCCTGGGCCCTCCACTCAATGGCACTGTATCTTCGCGGCCCTTGAGCCTCAGTTTCTCCTTCTGTGAAGTGAGCAAAGGAGGTTATGAGGAGAATCAGCCAAGTTTCCTTTCCATTTCTCTCCTTTGCAGGGTTTAGTAAGAGCTCTGACGATTAGGGAAGTCAGTCTGGGCTTCCTGCAGGATGAAGACTTGAGCTGGGCTGTGAAGGCAGGCTAGGATCCTTCTAGGTGGAACAGAGAGGAAAAGGCCTTCCAGGTGTGGGGAAGCAGTTGAGCAACGGGCCACGGACAAGTCCACAGAGCCTTGAAAGCAAGCGCAGGGAGGGCCCTGATGAAAGCAGTGCATCAAAATGCAACGTCAGAGGGCTCAGCGGGAGAGAGTCCGAGGGATGAGGAAGAATTTATAATCTCCGCATGAGTGAGGATGGGTGGTCGGGGAATGGTGGGGAAAGGGCAGCTACAAGAGGCATTTCCAGAGAAAAATTGTCAGGGCTTGATGTGTGAGGCTACGGGATGGAAAACATTGTGAGGTTTAAGCAGATGATTACTGTGTCATTCATTCATTCATCCTTAAATTACTTAAATTGAAAATGTACTGCTACAAGGTTCTGTTCTAGGTACTGGGGATTAATGACTAAATAAAACAGAAGTCCCTGCTCTTATGAAGCTCACTTTCTAGTGTTAATCGTGTTAAAAATTTAGTGGCAGCAGTTTTGGCATCTTGTGATGTCATTAGGTAGCTCACGATCCTTTTATCATATCTAAAAGTCAAGTGGGAAATGTCGATGAAAGCACGTCCAGTGTCTTCACGAAATCAATATACAGTATTTTCATGTTTTAGGACTATAAAGATAAGAATAAAACTGAAACTGAAAACGCTGTATTTCACAGATCTAAGGAAGTGATACTACTGTAGATTTAGTAATTTGCCTTATGGTTAATAAATTTCAGGGACCGTCTTGACGTTTGGAACACCTAGGTAATTGTTGTCGAGTTGTGCGATTCCTTTTGTAGGCTTGGGTTTGGATTAAACTTAGGTTCATTTAACAACCAGGAGGAAGTAATTAGGTTGAACAAGACTTCAGTATTTGATGGCTTTTTTTCCAAGTGATTTTGTCAGCTTGTTTTTGAAGTAGGGCTCTGATATTTTAGTTTTCAGTCTGAGTTTTCTTCAGTTCTTCAAGGTGAAAAAATTTAAGTTTGTACTAGATAATTGCTTGACAAAAAATGTTGATGTAAGAAATAGAGACATTTGAAAACTAAAATATAATTTTCCATGGTATTTTGAAAGCTTGAAATAGAAGAACATTATCTAAAGTTATGATACATTTAAATACCCATTTACTTAGGAAGCTTCTCTCCCTGTCATTTAATGTACCTACTCATGTTTTATATTATTTTTAAGGTAACCACAATTTATCAGCTATAACAATGGAGTAGAAAGATTTTTTCATAATTCTTAAGGAAAGAAAGAGGTTTGGACTTAATAGTACTGATCCGATTTCTTGCAATAAAAGAATATGAAAAATATTCAAAAAATGATTAAAACTCTGAGCTGCCATAAATATATTACCCCTCCGTGTGTGAATTTCTCAGTTAAAAAAAAAAATCAGATGTTTTTCCTTGAGGATGATTTGATTTTTTTTCCATTTCCTTCAGGTAAAAGTGCAGTTTTAAAGTGTCTACTGGACATTCACAAAATTTTTCAGGAAAATGACCCAGCTTACATTCTAAACGATCTCTACATCTCAGACTACTGTGTGTGGATTCAGAAAGCCAAGTAAGTTTTCAGTTACGAATTTTACATGCTCCCATTTCCAGAACACCTACTTACCTGGGAGGAAGAAAATGAAATAACCTGGAGGATAAGTTTTAATCAGGGACAAACCCGTACAGGTACCAAACATTTGAGAAGTCCTGTATCAGCACAAGGAACTTGGTGAAGTTGCTTAGGGAGGAGGTGCAGATGACAAAAAGGTTAATTTTCCTAGAAAAAAATTGGTACCGCCGGGAAAATATGTGTTAAAACTGACAGTTGTGACTCTTCACTGCTGTTGACTGTCCTCAGTGAAATCTCAAGACTGGTCTATCTGAACCTGTGTCTCTGGTTTAATTACAGTGGGGTGTGAATGTGAGTGTGTGTGCAGGCATATGTGTAAACATCACAGGATACAAACCTAATCAAATGTAATCACAACGAGAGCTGTGCCCTCTTTCGTTAATCACTGGCTTACAGAATCCTTTATTCAGAGTAGAAGAACGAAAGTCTTCAGGGCCTAATAAAATGTATCTAAGGGTCTGAACATTTACAAATGGCCTCCTTGAACTTGGTATGTAAAAAATTTTTTAATTGTTTGCCATTGCCTCACTCAAGGAAGCATATCAAGTTTAAAAATGCAGTGAATTTTCATTTTGTAAAGGGTGTTCTATAGACCTGATTCTTATCAGACGTGCCCAAAATATCCATTTTAGTAGCAAGAGACTGTTAATGAAGAACATACAAAGAGAGCCTTTGATTGGAATAATTCTTAGGTGCTAGAGAAAAAGACGGCACAACATCATTTGTGACTTAGAAGAAAAATGATCATGATATTTTTACTATTAGTGTGATCGGTAAATGAATGCTTTAGGATGGCATTTAATGCCTGTTTTGAGTAAACCATTATATACAATTTATTTTTGATTTCTGTTCATGGGGAAGCAATTATATTGCAGAGTGAAATAAGAAAAAAACTTGAGGCTCTACCTGTTGCAAGCAGAATGCTTGGGAACTGTAAGCAAAATGCTTAGGGACTGCTCAAGATATCGCCAATAACATACAGCAGGTGGTGTCAGCATTCGAGTTGGAAATCTAGATTTCGCCAGATGGAAAATTGCATCTTTAACCCCTGAGGTCATGATAGTATGTCATCACTTCATTTGATCCTCCTGCTAATTGAGCTTATCGAATACCCTGCTGCCATTTCCTGTTGTTTTCATAATAAAATTAAATTGAAATAGCCTATTTGTGAGGGTTTAGGTTTTTCTTTTTTTCTTTCAGGGTGAGGATTTTATAAGCATGTAATGAGCATCGACGTTTGTGCTAGGATCCCATTTCTGTGAATGCCTCCTTCCTCTGTTTGTGGCATTCTTTATTGACTAGAGAGAAGATCGTATTTCATTGAACTAGAAGGGTATACACCCTCAAGTTGATGTGGGGATTAATAGGACTTTTTTTCACTTAAATATTTTTTTTTCCCTGGGTTTTAAGTTGCAGGAAATGAAACGACATTCTTACGTTTCTAGTCATTGTTATGATAATAGTAATTTTTTAAAAGATGTTAATGTATGGCGAGCAAAAGGTAGAAGAGAGAAACCAGCAGGAGCTCTTCAAATTACTTTGGAAAAAAAATTTTCACCTTTACCAATTTGACTGTAACTTTCCTATCCCTAAATAAGCTGTGTCGTTTTCACTTTGTGTGTTACGTTTTAACTCTAGTCTAGCCCAGCTGTTTTCCCCTCCCCCTTGAAGTAAGATAACCTAATTTTAATTAAATTTTCTAATTTTATTCTTAATTTTTCAAGCACAGCATAATTGAACTTTCCAGTATCATCTTTACTGTGAACTTTCTTGGCTCTGAATTAATAATACTGTGGTGAATGTCCATAATTTCCATAATTAATTTCTTCCTTACTTTTCACCTTCTATTTTATTTCTTTCCCATACAGTTTATTAGTGAAATCTAGCACCTTATTTTTATGTATTAAAATAGTTCTGCATTTTTCTTAGTCTCTATTTGATGTTTTTGATTATAATAATAATGACTGTGTGAAATTTTATTTGAAATACCAGGCAAGTGCTAAATTCTGACTAGCATTCCATTTTTACAGTCAGACATTTACTTTGGCAAAAACTTACTGGAATATGGGTAGCAAAGTCATTGTTATACTGAATTAATGAAGTTAGGGCAACAACTGTGGTAAGTTTTGCTTTAGTGCTTCGTAGTTAGTTTTCCTTGTGATATGTGTCTTGTAGAGCACATTTGCAGAGCTTAAAAACTGAAGCTCCTGCATTTTTGAGTTATAGACTCTGCACATAATTTTTCTGAAAAGGAACGCTTCCTGCCATCCTTTGCTGTAAGCTTCATTGGAAGTTTCGAGTGTGGTGGTCCCTGCAGCAAATACACCCTGGGTGGCAGCATGCAGAGTGGTTTGCTTGAGGTCATATAGCTTACAAGAGATAGGTCTGTGATAGTCTCAGGTCTTCTGGCTCCAGATTTCATGTTTTTCCAGATACACCACCTAGACGAGCCATTGTCTTTGCCCATGGTATGGGGGGCGGGGGGAGGTGGTGTGCGGGGAGCCCTCCCTGTAGAGCGCTTTTCCTATAGGAAAAGGGATTAAGGATTTATCTGTCTTCCGCCGGGATATTCCCATAGCACTTGGTTTAGAGATCACTTAGGCACATGTCCTGTCTGCCTCACATTGGGCATACCTCTTTCTCCTTCTAAAATTTTAAAGTCCATGTGAATGAGCACCTATCTGGGCCCATTACAGTCCCTTGTGAGCACAGTAAATTTTAGTTGAATTGAATGGTATCTAGTAGAGCCAGTTGAAGGAGCATTTCATTTTTTTCTTGTTGAACCAAACTGTAAATTAGCTCTAACTTATTTTTATTGACATTTTTAGCTACATTCAATAAAAGACTTCGCCCTTCCCCTCGTTTCTTTTCCAGTGGGCTGCACTCACCGGTAGCACTGGTAGTGCTGACCTACTGAAAGTTTAGCGTTTTACACCCTTTGGTTTAAGCTGGGGTGGAAAAGCTTGTCCTGTAAAATATGTTCCAGCCCTGCCTCTCATGGACCGTAAGACCTTAGCAAGTCACTCCATCACTTCATCTAATGCACCAGTGTTAATATTTTAGTATTTTCTCTATTTTCCAGTGCGTTTTTAAAACAGTGGAAATAATACTGCACATATCATTTTGTAATGTGTTTAATACTTATAATATTACCCTATAAATCATTTTCCTTTATAGCATAATATCCATAGCATAGTATTTTTAAAAAATAACTAATTGGTTCCTCATTATACAAGAAGTGCACGCCCACTGAAGAAAACTTGATACTTTATGGTTTTAATGCATGGTGTAATTTGAAATGACATGGGATAGAATATGGTGTTATTTTGTTTTTCTGCGTGGAAAATTTTTGATTGTCTATTTTTGTTTAAAAGAAATTAAGATCTAAAATCCCAGCTAACTTTAGTACAAGTCTGAGCTTGTCATGAAGGTTCTGTATCTTTGTGTTCTCTAGTGTAGTTTTTTAAGGTAGGTACTTATGGGGGAAAAAGAAAATGTATGTCTTTGAAACACTGAACCTTTTTACATTGAACTGATAGATGGTTTACTGTGATTAATACTCTCCGTGCATTTGTTTTTTCACTGCTTTTTCGCATGCTTCCCCCCACCCCCCAAAATGAAATCTTACTTTGCAACCCTTTGGACACTGATGTGCAAAGTTTGTAGAGGGAAACAACTCCATCACCTAATAGTTTTGTTTTATTTGATAAATCCTGGACCTCAGCTTCCTCACTGGTGAATAAACCCGAGCCATTTCTGCCCTGAAATCTTAAAATTTTAGAAAACTTAGGACCCTATCGTTGCTTCATACTGCTTTGCTTCCTCTGTGTATGTGCTTTGGTAGGGGATAGGGTTATGTTCCTGAGAACAGTGTAGCTCCCTTCCTTTTGGCTTTCTCTTGTTCCTGGTTTATCTGCCAAAAGCCATGGGAGTGGGGGTCACTCATATGCAGAGGTAAAACATCGGCACTGAATGTAGAAACGGAATTATTTATTTTTTTCAACCACTAATTATTGAGCCCCACTCTATGCCAGGTACTGAGATAGGTGGTGGGGATACTCCGGTGAACAAGGGACACAACACCTTGAAGCTGATCTTCTAGTGGGGAACATAGACGGAAGGAAAATGTTATGCCGTAGCCTGATAGCAGCAGCTACAGTGGGGAAGTATGGGTGCTATGGGAGCACCTAGGAGGCCACATGCTTAGTCTTGGGGTATAGGAAACCACTTCCGGAAGGAAGAGTTGAAGCTGAGAGCCGAAAGGTCAGGAAGGGGTGGTCAGATGCAGGTGGGGAAGCAGGGGTGGAGGGCATTTCAGACAACAGAGACGGAGGAATGTGGCCCTTTTAAAGAGCTCAGAGCGGTTGGATCTTGGTACAGGAATGAGAGAAGGGAAGTGAGGCTGGAGAGTTCTTGTAGATCCTTGGCCACATGAAGATGTTTGAGGTTTGTCCTGGGAGAGTGTGGAGGAGCTGAAGAGTTTAAGCGATGGAGTGTCTGTGTGAGTGACACAGTAAGATTTAGATTCTGGGAAGATCCATCAGGTTACATTGTGGGGAATGAATTGGGGTGAGGGCAGAGCTCAGACTCAAGGCTGAAAGGCTAGTTAGGAGGTGAGTGATCCAGGCAAAAGGCAGCTGTAGCCTGAGCCAGGGCAGTGAGAGTGGGGAAGGAGACTAGTGGTCAGGTTTAAGGGGTAGATGAGACAGGACTGAATAAGGATTGGATCTCAGGGGAGAGTGAGAATGGGGGCAGTCAAAGGTGAGGTCTGGATTTTGACTTGGGCCAGTTAACGGGGCCGTCGGAGGTGCCTTTGCTGAAATTAAATCATACTGGAGGGGGTAGTTTGGAAGAGAAGTGAGAGGGTGGAAAGACGAGGAGTTCAGTTTCAGAAATGTTGATTTGAGGTCTCTAAGGAGTATCCATAAAGAAAGAGTCGG